ATAAAAACGATCAGTCTGCTTTTCAGTGTGAAAACAGAAAAAGCGTGTTCCGTGATAACTTTTGAAATAAAATTATGTGCTGATAGGCAATTAGGAGGACAGGAACATCAAATGTTTTTAAATGCCTTTGTTGAAAAGCTAGTTATCAATTAAGTTAATAAAGAAATAGAATTTAGTAGTGACCACTGAACCAGCTTGGGAGAGGTTAAATTCATATGTAATCTCAGGACCGCAATAGCCCAAGGACCTCTGTGCAGTGTACGGAGAGTCTTTTGAATGTGGATAGAAATACACAGATTAAAAAAAAAACACACAGAGAGTCTGTGTCCTGGTGGGTAACACACAGAGAGTCTGGCTGCACAGAACATCACTGCCGGAGGGGGGGAAATGTGGCAAGTGAAAAATATAAGAAGAGATCATAGAGGTACCCGTCTCTGAAGTCCGAAAAGGGGAAAATCGGGAAAGATTTAACCTGGAGATTCCAGCTCGGCAGATCAGGCAGTTCTCACTCTGCTCAGTTCTTGGGTGCAGCCCCTTTACCTTTTCAGTACTCTCTTGCTCACTCTGAAAGACATAAGCATTTCTCCAAGCAGAGATAAGCAGAGGCTACGCAGGACCCGGATCGCTGGCTCACCGTACTATGTCTTGTATTTTTGACACTATAGTCCCCACATGCCCATTTGTGCTTCTTATTTCTGATGGCATTACAACAAGCTACTTAAAAAACCATCAGAACTGTTTCATTCTCTTTTGTTCTGAGGAAATGTGTGTATATTCATTAACGGGGTGAAAAAATGAGTTACATGATAAAAGTTATACAAAAAGAAACTTGCAGAGCTGTGATAGGAAGCTTTACCTCCAGAACAGCCAACCAAGAGTTTCTCCACATCTCTACAATGCTTCTGACAGCAAATTGCCTGAGGCTGATTTCTTAAATATTAGCCAATCTCTGTTCTTACCCAATACCTTTAGGAACTTGCTGACAAAGGGAGAAGAATAGGGCTCTGAGCATCTTTATATTAAGTATGAGAAAACTTTCACAGTGAAAGATTGGAATGAGCTTCAGACAGAAACTGGGAATCCCCTTAATGAAATTTTTAGGTGCAGGTCAGAGAAACGTGCACCAGAGAGGTCTAAGTACATCTAGTACTGGAAGTGGAGGATGGGCTAGATGATATTTTTAGCTACATACCTACAGGATTTGCAAAGGTCTGCAATTATTTATGCCAACCAAGGAATAATGTAACACCTCAGAATGAAAGTCTCAGTCTCTACCATAGCCCAAGTGAGGGCAAACACTTTAAGACTTGCAAGTCACCTAAGCATGATAGCCAGCCTGGAACATTTTGGCAACACTTCTTCATGTAAAAATGACAGTTTCTCAAAGTTTTGAGGGTAGATAAATACCCAGTTTTCACGAGGTGGCATTCTGAGACCAGCATGGAATTGCTGGGCAACGGAGCCTCTGTCCCGCTGTCCCCAAGGAGAACAGCCGGTGACCTAGGCTGGCGTACTTCTGTGCAATACTATTGATCTCCAAGTTTTGCCCCAATTAAGATTAAGAGATTTTAATTTGAATTTTTCACACCAAGGGTGGTCATCACAATTAGGCTAGAGATGCCTCTCTTCCAGTCTTTCTTCTGGCACTTTATATCATTTATTAGCAGTTAATTGAATCAGAAAGTCAGTTTCTGTTCTGATAAATATTTCATTATTAGGTGTCCCAGTCTCCCAGTTGATAATACTCAACTATTCCGTTGCAATTCTTCTTTCCTTACACACTCTGCCAACAGGCTGCCTGCAATTCAATGGGGCTGTGTGTCTGAAAAATAGTTAAATCAGTAGAAGGTCACCTGAGACTGGATCAAAAGAGCAGTAAGAATAAGATAAAAATTCCTAAGATGGCTTACACATGCTAAACCGAATCAAAATGGTTAAAAAGAAATGTTAGGCACAACTTGGATCTGTCAGTTGTTTTGAAGGGCTTAGTTTTGTCAATCCTCTTGATTTTGGTGTACTGTTTTAACACTGAAGAAATGCCTGTGTGATTTTAACCCCAGCCCCTCGCTGCCAGCTCCCTCCTCCTTTTGGGCTAAAAAAATCACAGTCCCTTGTTGTCTCCATTCTTTGTAATGAGGGGATTTGGACCCTTATCCTATATTCACGTATCTGGATAACAGGCGGATGTGGAACTTTCCTCTATGAGTTTTTTCAGGTCTGGATAAGCTTCATGCTCACCTTTTGTGTTCGGATGCTTGCTGGACTGAGGCTTTAACTAATAGGTTAGAATTATATCCCACTTCCTCTTCTGCACAGCAGCTGACTTGTGAAAATGAAGCCTTGTCAGCCACCACAACACCCTTAATCTAGACCCAGAATGCTCTAGAAAATCTTACGCTCTGCAGGGCCAAAGGAAAATATGTATTTCCTTTGGGGCAGGACTTCTCCTATCAGCAATTAGTAATTTTATCTGCTTAGTTGTATTGTCAAGCTGTATCCATACTTCCTCCACCAGCCCCATCTAACCACACATACAAGCGCAAAGGGAGGCCTCTCCCACCATCCTGACATGCACAGATCATCGCTGCACCCATTTGTACAGACGCAGCATCGAGGGCTGTGCAGCATGGCCCCAAAAAAACCTGCTGTCATCAGGCTTTTCCTCCACCCCTGTCCTAAAGAGAGGACTTTGTGGGTAGATTGTAGAGTCATCTTTCCACGCCGCTTTCGCTTGCTTTCTGCACCCTGCTTCTCTGCCTTTAGCATACAGCAGTCCCATATCCCTTCTTGGTCACCCTTAAAAAACAGCAAACATCACTTATTTGGAGGATTCTGCAATTCCTCACTCCCTCCATTCTATGCCCCTGCCCTCCCTCAAACTCCGAGTCTGTGCTTATTGCTGTCTCCATGCACTGGTGCCCGATTAGTATCCTCTCTCACCCTCCACACACACATTCATCCAGCTCCACCACTGCTGTTCTCCAGCATGCTCTAGCACATTCAGGGAAGGAATTTTCTCATCCCTCTTTGTTTTCCATTTCTTCTTCACTTAAACTCCTCTGGACTACTTTCAGCCTATGATTTGTGGCCCCTTATCTCCTCCCACTAACAGCTGCCTCCTCCAGTCACTTGGAATGGCAAACTCAAAGCCAGCTGCCAGGCCTGCAAGTAAGAGAAAAGACAGGATTGAAGCCAAAACAGAATGCTCATTAAATATAGTCTTATTCATAAATTAATTATTATAATAATGTGAAACTTATTTTATTATTCATTATATACATTCAGTATCATCGTATCCTTTCTGATTCTTCTTTTCTGTTCAGTCACCTGGTTGCCAACACACCTAAGGCCATTGTTAATGTTCCCCCACGTTTTAGCACATTTGTGAAATCAAGTTTCTCTGCCATTGTCAATGGCCTCAGATGAAAGAACACCAGCAGTTAAGATAGGAATTTTGCTGCCCTGTCTCTGGGACTCCTTGTTGTTGCTGCTTAAATTCTTCTGCCAGGAGCAGTTCCACGGAAGTTTCATGATGACTGAGGTAAGACTCACGCAGTCGTGGAGCTGCCCACTGAGCAGAGCTGAACAGTAGGAACTTGAGGACAGCAAGGACTGTGTACATAACGGGGAGTAAATTGCCAGTGCTCTGACTGAGGAAATCCCCTTAGAGTTGAAACTGAAATGCAGATCCACCTCCAACTCTTCTGTCTCCGTGTCCCCTTTGGAGGCAGTCTGAGGTGCTCTTCTCTGCATATGAGGTAGTTGTGTTCAGCCCGACTGACATGGAAAGGGCTTAGTGCTACATGGAGACTGACATAACAGTGATAGGTAGAGGAATCGTAGGTAATATAGTAATTTTCTCCAACTGAAATGTGTCAAAATCCTCCTGTGCATTAGGTAAGATTAACACAAAGCCAGGTGAGTGTCAGGAGCTGGCATACTCAGTGTATTTATCAGACACACAGCTCTGAGTTAGAAAGCATCAACTATGGTGGAGAGACTACCGCACACCGCTGTGAGGCTCCTGGGCAACTGACAGGCGGCTTTCCTCTTCATGACTATACACTGCAGGGGGCAGCTTCATCACTTTTGACGACTCTTAACCTATTAATGGCAAGAGAAGGCTTAAAAAAAGTGTAATCATTCTCCTCCATCGCCTTCTCACAAAAAATTTGCTGTTATGAATGGTATTTAATATTGCTTTGAGTCTAATACACAGAGGACAGCTAAGCAAATGGAACGAAGCAGAGCTAGCTTTAACCTTCCTCCCTAGAATTAGCTGCAGACACAAGAACAAAATGAAATGTAGCATAGCCCTGACAGAGATCTACAGTTCCCTGTGTTGCTCAACATCCAGCCCCATGTCAGAACAACTCGTTCACTAAACACATTGTCAGATGCAGTTAAACCTATTTCAGCAGATAGCTGTGGTGAGTCAGAACATCTTGGAAAAGACGGCAGGCACAGGGATCTGGGATGCCTGTGGAAGGGAAGTCCAAGCAGGTGATTCCATTGGCCCCCTGAGGCCTCACATTTAAGAACATATGAAAGATTTCTAAGGACTACTGTGGAGTTTCAGGGCCATTAAAGCAGCTGCTACTGCTCTCTTGAGAAGCTGACATCCCAGTAAATATGCTGGGAAAGAGAGGAGTAGAATATTATAGTCCCCCAAGCCCTTTAAGCCAGCGCTGCTGCTGAAAAGAGCAGCCTCACTCTCTTCTCCAGCTGCTCTTGCTCACATCTGCACCAGCCTCTGGTGTACCAGGACTAACATTTGTGAGGTGATGTGGATGTGATCCAGATTAAGACTAACCTGGCAAAACAAGCCAGCTCATTTCATCCCGGCCGGCTGCTGCTCAGGTTCACTCTGCGGCCTTATGAAAGCTGGTGCCAGCAGAAGCAAGGAGTAGAGAATACACACCAGGGAGAGGTGGGATCGCTCCTGGCAGCGAGGTGCTGGCTCCAGGGCCTGTGGGGACACTGGCATGAGGGGCTCCGCCATGTCCTCCGGCTACTACCGCTGCAAATTCCCTGTGCTGGCACTGGTGTGGCACAGACGCCATCTCCTGCTTGGGGCAGCCAGAACGGCCAGATCAACCAAGAAATTATCGCTGCATTCACGATGCTCGAGTGAAAGCATCCCCCCGCCCCCCATGGGCCGGGCCTTCCAGAGGACACGGGCAACGACGGGCAGGCGCGGATTCGGCACCTTTCCCCCTTCCGAACCGAACCCCAACGCAGGCCCCCTCCTTCCTAGGCCTCCCGCCTCACGACACCACTTCCCCCCGGCTACAGGACCCGGCAGTTGCGTTGCGTTGCGCTCCGCTCCGCGCCCCTGCCCTCCCCTGCCCTCCCCTCCCCT